GTTCTTGCATGAGGCCCATTATTCTTGACTGAAAACACTTTTGAATCAACTACTTTTTTGTTAAATTTAGATATTTTCATTGGGACTTTGGAAGACACTTTGGGCTACATAACTCCTCCAAAGAGAATTATGTTGCAGCCAACACAGTTGGAGGATTTTCCAAATACAACTAAACTTTAAGTATCCTTTTTCAAATTGGGAAATTTCTGTTAGTAAAAAAATAAAGTTAATAGAAAGAGTTAACTAAAATTTAGAGGGGTATGGAGAAAAGTTTGATTTTTGAGGTTATAAAAGTCTGTTCCCTCATTTTAGTTAAAGGAGTGTTATTAAGCAAAGTCAACTTTTTGTTTAGCTTCATATCATGTTATATCATTCCSTCATCAAAAGCCCAGAGTGTTGCTTTGACTCAAACATGCATGTTTGAGGAATTCTTGAATCTCCTGTGGCCACGTGGAGATGAATGAACACTTGTTGGAACAAAGCACCGCACATTTACTCAAAGCTCCTCCCTGGATTTCACTCTGCAGCCGAGCTCCATCCCCACAGAGCACCCTTCCCCAGAAGCATTGTTGTGAAAATGTGCTGAAGAGGGAGTGTCAGAAACAGTAGGAGGTTCATAAAGAGACAAAGACCAGTTTCAAGGTGTTTAGATAGATGATGCAACGGCTAATTTGTTTTGATATACATTTTCAGAAAAACCTAAGGTAACATAGTTACGTTATTGTAGTATAGAATTAAACTATGTTCCTGAAAAATACATAACCCCCTTTTAACAGTTTGCACAAAGTAAAAAAAAAACAAAGTATTTTGTTTTGTTTAACTTATATTTAGCCAATGATGCAGAACTCATGCATAATTAGTTAGAATTGAAAATATTTGTTTATTGTGTTGAATATTGCTATTTAATAAATGTGATTAAAGAGCAACAAGTTGAGATTAATTCGTTACAAGACCTGTAATTAACTGTATTTTTTTAATTACATCCCAGCTATAGTTTTAATCTCATCTCTTTTTGTAATATGCCATTAAAGTCAGAACCAAATTACACAATACACCCAGACCTTGCACTAGCTGGTCATCTTCCATTTGAATTTAAGTCTTTTACTAATCTGGGGAAGAAGTTAAATAGATTCTTTCCTGCTTTCAAACTGAATCAAACAAACACCTCATATTAGGCTGATCTAGTCCACACGGTCTACTTCTTTTACCTTGTTGTCCATGTCTTTTTTACCAACAGCTGACTGAAGAGCGTGCAGCAGAGCGTCAACCAAACCCTCACACTCCCTCAGTCGGCGCCGAGCCTCCGCCCCATCTGAGCTCACGTTTCTAAAGGAAATAAAAACATACGCACACACAATTAGAATGCATGTAGGAGAATGGTGCATGCAGATCAGGTCACTGGTTGAAAAAATAAATGTATAATCTATCCAGTGAAACCCCGCTATTATTTACCACAGCAAATAATGCAAATAGGAGAGTGTGTCTGCATAGATAGGAGGAATTAGTTGTACCAGACGCATTTACAATGATGTACAATGAATGTTTTTTCAGGAATAAAATATAACTGTCTTTTGATCAGGCCTACAAGAGTGTAAGATGATGTACAGTTTGGATGATAATGAAAAACATTTGACTGTTCAGGCATGTATGTGACCCTTGATTTTTAACCTTGCTGTCTGCCTAAAAAAGAGTTCTCTTGGGGGAAAATCTTTTAAAAATGATGAATAAGAATTCAATTTTTGGTGCCCTTTAAATCAATCAGAACCTCTTATTAAGTGTAAGCACAGCGGCAGAGCTGGTGCAGTCCTAGCATGGCTGTCTGACTGTGAAAGGTTTGGCTTTAAAGAGGGTTAAAGGATAGCCGGGGCTCCCTGCTCCACTCTGGGGACTTCATTTATGATGGCATCCAACCCACATAATCCCATTAGCTGACCCCCAGTTAGTCCTAAGGAAGCCCGGCAGCTTTGCAGAGGTAAGCAGAACTCTGTGGGCTTTTTTTTAAATGCTGTGTGGACTGAAATGAACATCACATTCGACAATGCTACAGTTTAACAGCGGACTACAACTGCTTTTCCATTTCATGATGAATTTCAAATTTCTACATCCTTTGACATTTGCAAATAAATGTACAAATTCTCAAATTAACTGACAGTTTTATGGTCYAGTGTACAAAAAGTACCGATGATATTTGTCTATAGAGTCATCTTGAAAAGTGCAAAATAAATCTAATCTTCAGTCACGGAGAGCAGGCGGGAAGTTCAGGCCATCTGGACTCATTTATCAAACCTATCTATCTTTAACCATGAAAAAAAATGGCTGCCACCCCTCCAGTAAACAGATCCAAAGGAGCGCCTGCCTTGGATTTATTGACGAGAATGAGTTTGAAGGCTGGCAGACAAAAGAGTTTTATTGTCAGCTGTTTCATTTTCAGGAGTCTTTTGTGGGAACAGCTGAGTTTGTTGAAGGTTTATAGACGGTGCATCTGTCTGTGGATGGCGGGGGTAGGGGTGTGTGTGTGTGTGTGGGGGGGGGGGGTTGTCTAGAACAGGCTATCTGGTGGAGTAGTAATATTTAAAGAGTTTGGGACCTTTAGACTTCTGACATTGACCTGTTCTGACCTTTCACCTTCTGTCCCAGTTTTGAAGAATGTGTTCCTTTATGTGTTTAACTTGATAAAAAGTATCCGAAAGAGGAAAAGCTGCGTTCACTCGGTTCAGTCAGGCCTCGTTTGTCAAATCTTCCCATCACTTGCACTGTTATAGACTTTCTTATTGCTGCATATCAGCAAGACTCAGTCAGAAATCGAGTTGGGTTTCTCTGGAAACTGTGAGAGCAACATTTTGTCCTACTTTAAGGGAGGCTGCAAATTTTAAATGTAGCAGGTTTTAAACAATAAAAGGGCAGCTATACACTCATGTATGTGTTTGCATGATTGTTAGCAAAGCCACTGGACAAATTTTAACAAAACGTCTTGAAAGTAATCACTCGCTGGACAACTAATTACGTTCTGGAGTCAAGTTAATTCAAGACTGTATGATCTTATCWAACTGCACCCAACATAAGATGATCTCTGTTTAAAACTGGCACAAACAGTGATGTTATGTATGTTCTCCTTCTAGYAAAGGTGTGGTTGAGCAGCAATGACAAAATAACTTAAGTTATGAACAATTTCACAGATTTACTTTTGTGTAACAGTATATAAAAAAGTGTTTGAAATTTGTTTAGATTAAATGGTGACCGCTAAATTCACTGCGGTCATCAAGAGTAATGTATTGATTATCAGCACACAACTCTCTCCAAAATGTTGCTTTTATTCACTGTGGAAGTATGTCTGCAATGCAACTAAAAAAAACCGTTTTTGCACTTTTTATTGTCTTGGTCAAGGAGTGTACACTAAAAGAAAATATGTTTTCTTTTAAAAAATAATTAGAAATGGATAAAAAATGTTATATTCCTTTTAGGACTCAACCGTTTATGATTTTATTTTATTATAAGGAAATTCAAACATTAAAAAAACTCCCATTTGYCAAGTATTTGTAAAATAAAACTGTGCACTCAATTCTATTTTCAGTCAAACTTTTAGAGTTCAAAAAATTCCTGTCCCTTTTTTTGCTCTCATTGTGTCATGTTGAACAATAAGGTGTGCCTTCAGAGGTCTGACTGTGGCTTAGAGTTATCTGCACAGACATTGACTGCCTTTTAAGTGTGATCATGATTTGTCTGTTGTGTTTCCACCTTATCAGATGGAGTGCTGGTGTGAAGGTCACACAGAGCAGCATGGCCTTCAGAGGACAATGAAGCGYCTGGACAGAATAGACTGGAGCAGGACTGATGGAGACGGATGGAGACTCAGCTGGCCTCTTGCTATCACCCTGCAAGGTTAACGGCAACGTCGCAGGACCATATGTGCACCCTCAGCTAAGGTAACCTTCAGGTTGTATCATGGCTGATCCATTTTCTGATTTAAAATATTGATTTGGCTTCTTATCCAGCTGTAAAACTACTAGATGCAAATTCAATTTTCTAAACGTGCAAGTACCTAGCTTACGACCACAACTGATGCAGACTCCACCGRAAAGACAGAAATTAGTGACTGGCCGACCTGTCGTTTTTCTCTAAAATAGGRTATATCATGTAAAATCAACTTTTTTGAGCTTTATATCATGTTATAATGTCAAAAACATGCCCAGAGTCTTACTTTGACTCATTCATGCATGCTTGAGAAATCCTGCAGTGTCCTGAGGCAGCCAGGCAGAGGAGCAAAAATGACCGGTTGGGACTAGAACTACRTTTTGGGATCAGCTCCCCCACTGGGCTGTGTCTCCAAGCAGAGCTTCCTCATCACAGAGCACACTTCCARGGCRRGCCCTGCTATCGGCAGSAACAACTAGCAAACACCCGGTGAAAACCATGTCTGCTGAGCTCCCAATACTACTTCTCAGTGCAGCAAGAAAATACACTAAGTAACCCCACATGACTCCTGCAGGKTGTCGGCAGGAACAAAGTGAAACCACATATTTAGCTCCAATACTAACAGCTTGTCATTTCAGTTTTTATTTTTATTTTTGGATTAAACACCGTTGTCACCTGCACAGGTAAGCTGAAAAACAACTCACGTTGTTTTGTTTACATCGTTGTTTGGTCAAGCTTTGTAACTTATTACGATGTGTGTGAGCAACTGAAATAATCTTACCAGCTGAAAGGTCGTCTCTGTAATCGCTCTGGTTCTTCAGAAAATGTCAAGTTTATTTTTCATTTATACTGTACATAAAAACAGCATTTTAATAACAACTAAAGGTGACATAGTTACTTTATTATGGTATAGAGTTTCAATATGTGCCTGGGAAACACATAATATAATAATGCACCTTTAACACT